TGTACCACTTTAAATGGGTGGGAGAAAGTATAGAAGTTCAGCTGACTCTGTTGCAACAATGCAATCTGTTTGCTCCTGCCCACAGTAAATGGAAGCAAAAATGCAATAATTACCATGTTTCATTAAGAGATAAGTTACCATGGAATAGCTTCACTTTCAGCAGGACAGGTTCAGATAGATACTTACAAGCAGAAAGTCTCCCTCCCATTACAAAAAGTATAACTGTATTGTCTGTCCACAGCCTTTCGAGAACAAAGGTTCACGTAATACATTACTGTAACAGGGCTGTCTGTCTCTTTAAGGAGAACCAGTCAGCTCTGTTAAGAAAGCCCAGCTGGGCAGCACTGGAGTAATAAGGAAGTGGCCCACTGGGAGCTTAAGGTCTCCTGGAAGAGAAAGCGAGGAGGAGGAAGCACGCTGTTAAGGGAGGCTGCAGCTTCTTGCTGCAATGAGGGGCCGGACTCCTGTACTGAGGCCAAAGCAGAAAGGGGGCTCCCCTCCTAGTGTCCAGGAGAGGATAGATGGATTTTGTTTCATTTTGTTCATTTGTAGACAGAACTTTGCTTTGCAGCACTGGCTGATGGGCTTCTCGGGGAGTGAACTCTCCTATAAAAGCTGGCAGTCTAAGTGACCTTTTTACAATAACCTTCTAACTTACACATAAAAATTTTGTCAACACATTAATGTGCTCAAACGGAAATTAGCTTGAACAAATTGGTTGTTTGTATGTCCAGTTTCATAGTTTCATAGTTTCTAGGGTCGGAAGGGACCTGAGCAGATCATCTAGTCCGACCCCCTGCCATGGCAGGAAAGAGTACTGGGGTCAAATGACCCCAATAAGGTGGTCATCCAACCTCCTCTTAAAAACCCCCAGGGTGGGAGCCTGCACCACCTCACTTGGAAGCTGGTTCCAGACCCTAGCTGCCCTGACCGTGAAGTAGCGCCTCCTGATGTCCAACTTAAACCTTCCCTCCGCCAGCTTGTGACCATTGTTCCTGGTCACTCCTTCCAGCGCTCGGGGGAACAGGGACTCCCCCAGCGCCTGCTGATCCCCCCTAACCAGTTTATAACAGGCCACAAGATCCCCCCTCAGCCTTCTCTTTTGAAGGCTGAACAGGTTCAGGTCCCGCAACCTTTCCTCATAGGACCTAACCTGCTGTCCCTTGATCAGTTATCTTTCTGTCTAGCACCTCTACATTCCCTTTGGTAGAAGCCAGTGGATTCATGTGTAATTGGTACATACAGAATTTCAGGGATGACTTTAAAATTAATCACAAAATGAATGTTGTGTTCCAATGGCAATACCCACTGGACCTGATTATGAGAATCTGAGTGGGAGGGAAAAAGGATTTTGGACACTTCTAATATAACATGACATATCTAAAGTCTTCTTTACTGTACTTGAAAGTTCTTCACATTTCTGTGATAAAATTTTTTTTTAAAAATGTAAAACTGGAACAATACCCCTTTAGAAATAAGGATTGATATACATATGATCTTGGTATGCAGGAGTTATTTTTCCTTTAAATTGCATTAAATTAGTTCATTCATTTTAGAGAAATTGAAATAGGGGGAAAAAACCAAGACAGAAGTTTCCAGAACTTTTAATTCTTATTCAAAATATCATTAATTTGTTTTAAATTAAAATTTTAAAGAGCCAACAGATCAAATTATCTTTGCATATCTGCAAAGGGGATCTGTAAGTGGCTCTCTGACATCTGGAATAATTTATGTGACTGAAGGTCTGACTTCCACTTTAATGTCAAATGTTTAATCCCCCGATAACTTGTTTTTCTTCATAAAGCACAGATCCACAGTGACACATGCCATCCACAACATAATACAGAGTGGCACTGGTTTCATAAAAAATGGACATGTATTTTAAAACATTATTCATCTTCTAGTAAGGTAATGTAATTGTAATAATTGTCTTTAAACAGAATAATTTAAAGGTCTCCGCAGATGTTTGGCCAATAGTGTTCCCATTTTTTACATGAACTTTTATGTATCATAAAAATCTAGAAAAATCTAGTAATCAGGGGAAAGATCCTGACCTTTAGTCCAAATGCACTTGGAATCATGGAAGTGCAGAGAACAAAGCTTTACAATCCCATAAAGAGTTAATGACCTGACATGGATGAATATATTACCCCATTCCATATATGCAGACTATTCATCTGTGAAAGGGTCAGTATCCTTCACTTCAGCCCTATGTGTGAACGAACTTTGTAGGCCTGAAATGACAAAAATATAGAACATGTTTGTGACACTTGAATGTATGTTACATGTCTCAAAACATTCAGTGAAAGCCAAAACCCTGAAGCTTCTCCTTCAAAGAGTTATAGAAACAGGATAGTGTATTATGACGTTGTAAAGCATGGCCTGAAAGAGAACTGAGAGGGAAAGGATAAATAGGAGATGAACAATGGCATCATTGGTAAAGATGAAGAGGGAAGAATGTCATGTGATCAGAACCATAAATATGGAGGGGCAAAGTAGGGAAGGGCCAGTACAAGGTTGACTAATATGTGGAAGAGGCATCTCCTTAAGCACTTTCCTAGATTCTTGGGAAGATCCTGTACAAAATACCCCCTAATCACAGAGGACAGGGATCCTTTACTTTTATGAGGAATGATTAAATTTGGCAAAAAGTGGTTTTTAAATCCTATCGAAACATTACGTGGCTGGCTTTGAAATGGAGCTCTTAAGAAATATTTATGCCTACACTCATTCTTACTTTGATAACTGACCAATATGCTGCAGAGTCTGGTTGAAATGATACAGAATGTGGCTTGAATACTGCTAGGAAATCATTATTTAATTGTTATGGACTCTCTGCTGCAGATATCAGTGCTGTTGAGTATACTACACAGGCTTTTGTCTTGTATTAATAACTTAAAGAGATAAAGACCTCCTTGAGATCTTCAGGAAAGACTGGTGGGACTGGTAATGGTGTCTGCAGAACATGAATTTTTGACAAAACTTGTGTGTGACAGCTGGTTAGATATCTTTGCAATAAAATAAAATTTAAA